AGTCCTGAGAAATAGTCCCATTCGTACTTGGGACTGGGAGAAGGAGGTTCTCTCCGCAGAGAGAAGGGCACTCAGTTTTAGCAAGCACCTCCCAAATCAGTGCTCAGTTTCCTACCTCTGGCACAAGTCTAAAGCGCAGGACTCAAGTGGCTTCCCACCCCTTCTTTCTGAGAGCACTGTAGATAGGAACTTAACAAATAAAGCGGGTGGTGGTTTTCATTTTCATTGTATTCTATAGGAGCAGAACCCTTTCTGGCTAATTTTGTATAAAATCCAACTTCTGTGACTCACCGGAGGCTTAAAACACGCTTGCTGACCTTCTGAAACCTAAAATGTTCGAACTGGCAAGGACCATGTAGGAAAGAGCACAAAGTATATGTATATTTTCTTCCAAATATGCTTAATTGGAACATCTCCATCCAGCGCCCCGTTTCATCTAATTCAAAAACAGTGCGGTCTGAGCAGCGGTAATGGAGACTCATTAAGTTCCATTAGCTGCAGACACATCGAATGAATACAATAGGACCCAGGCACTATTCACAGCAACAGGTGGCATGCTACAATAGGAACCTGTTAGACAAATAACCTGGTCGCCTGAAATGGGCCCTCTTGCTTTTTACGGGAACTCATTTTCTAAAACACGGCGTCCTGTGAAGCATATTTTAATTATGTTCCTAGACCACTGGCTGCATTAACTCAATGTAGCTTTTCAGTCATTCTGACACATAAAACAAATTCTTGCTAGTGCAGTTTCCTCTGTGCAAGGTCTGAGTGGGGGAAAGACAGGCCTGGTGACTGTTTTACCTGTGGGGCCATTAGCCAGCATTCTTAAAAATGAGATAACAAGAAATACTATTATAATCAGCCTGAAAGTCCCGTCATGGAGGGCTCAGGATGAGCAAAGCTATACACCAAGGTTCCACGCACACTGCTTTCTTTCAGCACATCGCAGGAAAGGGGTTAGGTCACGGATTCGATGTCACGTGGCTGGGCATCAAGCCAGACAGCCCACACCTAACCCCATCACTGCAGCCAGCCAGCACCCTTAGCAAATCATCTGGGATCAAAGCACGTTTTTATGGGGACTCCGACGTGAAGGATAAGCCCCTGGAGACGCTCACAGATGTTGCTCCATAGAGCCTCAGTCAGGAGACAGGAATTTGCTGAAGTTCAAACTGCACAATGGAATCGAGGTGCCCATCGTGCCCGGGCCGAAGCTTCCACAAATTGTAGAAAGCGTGGCCCTTCCCGGGTCAGTGCTGAATGTGCTCAAGAGGAAAGGACACCACGGGCATCTTTCCCCACAGACCAGGGAGAAAGGAAATTGGCAAACCCTGCTGAGAAGACAGCACCAGCAGATGTCCCTACTCAATACCTAAGGGCCTTAGCACTTGCCCTCTGTCCACAACCAAAGTCATTTCCTTCTAGAAGGTAGATGATTAATGCCCCCTTTGGAGGTAGCAAACAGGCAATGGCCTCTAAGATCTCCTTAACTCTAAAACCGTTGCTCACTTACTTCCCTAGCATCCCTCATTTATGAGTTACCCCAAAACAGCCCCAACAAGGACGGCAATATAAAATAATTGCCACTGGGGATCATGCTAGTAAGAAAACATGATCATTGGAAGAAAATCTATTAGAAACTCAGAACCAAGTCCAAAACCCCTTGGGAGTATCCATATTTTTCAGGAGTTATATAATGACATAACATCTGTCCTCCCCACAAGTCTAAGAGAACTGAAGTGTCACGCCAGGGGAGGGGGGGGACATCACCACTTAAGTTCTTGTTTCTAGCTCCCTTGGGTTCTTAGGTTCTCAAGTTCAAGAAAGATGGTGCGGGAGGGTTAGGGGACTGAAGGTCTTCGGACCATCACCACTGAGGTACAAGCTGTAATCTTTGGTACCCAAGTTCACACTCAGCATTGCCTTGATTTCTGATTACTACCCACCCCCGCCCCGCGAACACCTCTTGCGCCCCCTTGCGGCTCGCCTTTCCAGTCTTCTCCATAAGTCCCTCTTCTGCGGTTTACAGATGCCGGCACCACACTACACCTCTGGCACGTGCTGCCTTCGTTCTACTTCTCTTGTCACATTCTCTGCTGGAACTGGCAGCAGACTCCCGTCCCCAGCCTCGTGGGCATCTGTGGCTAACTGTGTCACGTGAATCCCATGGCCAGGAAACACGAGCCCTGTTGCTCTCCCGCATGTTCGTACTCTGTCTCCTGATGGTGCCACTGTTTCCTGATGGGATCCTGTTGGGATCTGAGGCTCCATTCTGCCCGTCAGTTTCAACTAATCCCTACTAATCATGAATTATTCCTTTGTTCCACCCCCTGCCACAGCCTGTGCTACACACCTTCTTGCACTTGGCATCCCTGGTCCCCAAGTGACCCCTCGAATTCACATTCAAATCTACCAGGCTCACAAGCCTTCCCATGCCACAGCGGGTGTAGACACCTTCCTTAGCACAGGTAGAGTGAGGGGTCTCTCTGACCCTGCCTGTATTCACAATCTCAGCAGGAGCCGCTCTGACCTCATTTTATCTCCCTCCAGGTCTTAAAGGGGAATTTGTATTTATGATGATCAATGCTGACATCAATTTGACAGGATTTAGAATCACCTTGGAAACATATCTCTGAGTTTACCTTTGAGACTGTTTCCAGTGAGTTCTAAAATGAATCTGTTATGAATGTGGGTGGCACCATCCCATGGGCAGAGGTCCCAGACTGAACTAAAAAGGAGAAACCAAACTGAACACCAGCATTCATCTCTCTCTGCTTCCTGACTGTGGATTCCACGTGACTAGGCGTTTCGCTCCCCTGCTGCCGTGCTTCCTCTTCTGTGATGTATTACACCCTCAAACTTAGAGCAGAAATAAGTCCTTTCTCTCTTGCTTCTTATCAGGGGTTTCATCACCGCAATGAGAAGTAACAAATACAGTATTTCAAAAAAAAAATTTTTTTTACTCCTAATTTGTGATCTATTTTCCCAAGAAAGTGGTGTTGTATCTTTCTACCCACCTATGCCTGGCTCACCCCTTTAACCCAGGTTGATCCACACAGCTCTAAGAGATTGGCCTAGGTTCTCATCTATGTCACAAGTAAGTGACATAACACAGCGCACACTTCTCTAAGAACATAGAGTTACAGGTGTAGACACAGTGCTGCATTCTGGCTCTGCCAGCTCCTAAGAGCCGACACATCACACAAAGCACAAAGCCCAGCAGGCCCACAGCAGTGCAGAAAAACAGCTGTCCAGAGAGACTATGCAGAAAACGGAGAAAGAAGGTTCACGTGGCTACAGTCTAAAGAGATTATTGAGGTAAATTATAATTTTATGGGTCCACAATCTTCGTTTGATAGTCAACAACTTCTCAGCATTAAGTTTGATCTGAAGTTCAACCAGCTGCATAAGCACATCTTTATGTAAACATGTTATCAACAGAAAAATACAGGATTACATAAATATGGCATGCCTACTGTAAGCCATTTGGAAAGTTCCGAGTGTCCGTCTATTTTAAGGGAAGCTGTGCTTAAGAAGTCACATCTATCTATGTGATTTGGGGGTGGGCATCAGAAAAAAAACACATATAATTAGATTAAACATTCTATAGTCAGTCTCATGTATATTCAAAACTGAAGGGATATATTTAACTTATGTCAATTTGCTTCTACTTGCAAGAACAATTCCGTTTTTAAAAGTCCATAAAATCATGTGCACCCTTCCACACTTTAACTCAGTGCCGTACACATGCAATTATTCTAGTGACACATGCACTAGGTTTCCTAATACATCCCCTCTCTCCAACACATCTGTCGTCACTCAAAGCTCTGAATGGTCTTCCTACCCCTCCCCCCTTCCAGAAAGTTCAGGAACCACAAGCACCCTCAGGCGCAGCTTTGAGGCAAGCACCTGAGTGCTCACTGCTGTACCCCCCACAGGCTTGTCCACTGCCCTTAGTCTATCCTGGCTTCTTGTGGTAACAACCCAGGCAAGATCCCTTCCAGAACAACACACATTTATTTTGTCATTTCTGTAGATAACAAAGGCGGCTCATCGTGTCCCCACGCCCCATCCTTCTTTCCCTTTGCAGTCAACTTGCTCCCCTAAACTGCCACGCTTGCTGATTCAACCCCTCCTGTTCTTGCTCCTGGGCAGGGAAGTTGTCTCCAGTCACACCACCAGCAAATGCTGACCAGGGCCTGCTACAGAAATCCACGCTGCCAGTCAGCCACTGCCCTGCCCCTGCTTGGGTCTGCAGCTGCTGCTGGGCCACCATATGGCCTGCAGGGACAGTGGGTGTCACTTCTCTGAGCACATCACTCCACCATGTGGAGTCCTTGAGACCCCTCCTCTTCAAAATCCTCCCAGCAACCTCTCTGGACCGAGTTAAGTGAAGCGGAACAATCCAAAGCCCAGGCTGCGAGTTCTCTCTTCTTCATATTTCCTTTATCCTTAAATCACCTCATTTTCTTCACAGCTTTTTATTTTATTGTTCTGTTTTTTTTCAGGACAGGGTCTCTCTCTGTAGCCCTAGATGTTCTGGAACTCACTCTGTAGACCAGGCTCACCACAGTCTCACAGAGATCTGCCTGTCTCTGCCTCTCCAGGGCTGGGATTAAAGGCATGCGCCATGACACCCAGTTCTTCATGGCTTTTACTACTGACCAACACTAATGTGCATGTTTCCCCAGTGTACTTCCTTGATTATCTTGTGTTTTCTACTCCTCCACATGTAAACACCGGGATGAAAGCACATCAGATGGGGACCCTTGTCTCCCGTCTCCACTGATCCCTTGGAAATGGAAGATTGTTCAGACCACAGGAATGTCCAACAAACAGATACTGAATACATACATCATACTGCAATACATACTTCAAATTGTGCAGAGCTCAGACCTCTGGGGTTTGAAAGTGAGTCTTTCAAAAAGAATACTCTTAGCCATTCTAGAACAATCGTGATTTGGTGGCAGTTTTGGGATTTGAAAGAGGTACTTTACCGTTCTGACGTCACTCGGATCTGTTCCTCAAAACTACAGTTCAGCCCTTTCGTCTTCTCATGGAAATATTTTTCCACACACTGTTCCTCAAAATCATAAAGCTTTTTCAAGTCCTCCTCGGTGAGGTAGAGCTCTGTGGAGACAAGCATGACACATATAAAGGACTGCTCCTGGGGAGCTGACACACAGATCGTGTCCCTAGTGGTTCATGTGCCAGAAGCTTGGTCCACTGGTGACGCTGAAATGGTGGGATGTTGGGCAATAAGCAGATCATGGGGACTGCCTCAGGAATGGAAGGATGGGCTGGTCACATCAGCCAGCCTCTCCCAGATCTCCTGCTTTCCTGTCTCACATCTTTCCATGCAGGGCTCCCCCACTCCCTTTCTGGCTCCTACCCCACTTCACCTCCCCTTCCCCACCCCATACACGTGCACTACAGGAGCCCGCCCACTACGTTATGATGTGACTAGAAGACCATCTCTAGAGGCTGGCCGGAAGTAGATGACAACCTTGGAACTTCAGCCTGCAAATCCTTCAATGGCGGAGCTACGGGTGCTGATGTGCTTGTGGTCAAAAATCTGCATATAAAATTTGGTTTCCCAGCCATCTACATTGGCCAGACACTCTAGTAATAACATAGGCGATTCAGATGTCTTTCCATGATATATGTATTATATGTGGAGAAATTGTAAGAAATCACTTTTTTTTAACTTTCCATTAAGAAGAGGGGTAGAGTAATAGTTGAGTCTCTAACAATACTTGCCATGCAGACAGGAGGTCCTGAATTTGATTTCCAGAACCTACATAAAATGGCTTTGTGTGGAGGTGCATTCTTTCAACACCAGCACTGGGGGAGCAGATCAGCTGCTCACACTGTGATGAGCAACACACAGGGTCCTCAGCAGATGCACTTTAGATCAGCAAGGGGGCAGCAGGTGGCTGTGAAGGTCACATTACTGCTCCAGTTACAAACACAACTGCAGTTTAATACTATGTCTTTGTGCTTGCTTGCATTCCTCTTGTACAAGTGGTACTACTGATGCTCTGTGATCACAATTTTTCTTCATTTTTTGGTAAAATGTGATAAAATACATTATTGTCTCTGAATGCATTCGATGTACTCATACCTTTTTCTGTGAATATTTCTGTGTCTGTGTGTTTATAGGGAAATAAACATACAGGAGGGCACATGTGTGCACATACATGTAGAGGTCAGAGGTCAACCTTCTGGTTGTGTTTCTGAAATCAAGGTCTCTCACTGACAAGAACATTTATCTGGACGGAATGGCAAGAGGCCACGGGATACGCCTGTTTCTGCCTCCGCAATGCGGGGATTAAAAGAATGCATCTCCAGAGCAGGTCATGTCCCGTGGGTTCTGAGAACCATGCTAAGGCCCTCACGTCTGCATGGGAGCCATGTCATAGGCTGAACTATCACTCCAGCCCCTTTTTTCTTAATATTGCTCAAATTTCTATGCTATAGAATTGGTATCTGAGAGTTTTTGTTTTAAATTGTTTGATCGTGTGTTTTTAAATGAAACACTTTTCCGACGTAGCTCAGGCTAATGTCAAACCCACAGACACCCTTTCCTCCAACTCCCCAAGTCTGGGTTTACCAGTGTGTCTCACAGTACCCAGCATGGTCTTCTAGGGTTTTTTTAATATTGCAAATGTTCAAAAGCAAAATTATGTGCAAGAGTATTTGCAACTAAACCTTGGTTATTCAAAGATCAAATGGAAACCTCTTATCTTTCCTAAGCAACTAGTCTCGGGTATTGTGTGATAACCATGTCATAAGTGTGGCGGCCTTTGCTTCCACTTGTACTGAAAACGCGAAGCGGTTGCTTCTGTGACAGATGTCACCAGGTGGTCCGCTGCGCTCTGAGAAAGGCAGGACATGCAATCATCTAAGAATACTACACTGCACCTTCTTCCTTCTTTGAAAAAGACCAACATGAGGATAGACTGACACTTTCATCTCAATATTTTCATAGCTCACAATGTTCTCGTGTGTTAGCCAAGGTTCCCTATATCCATATACAGCTGGAGAAAGAATGCCATTGTCCCTTTTCTCCGTCAACTGCTTTAGCTACTAAGATGACAATAAGAAATCTACAGTAGGAAATCGACGTTATGGGAGGGCAGAGTCTGCGGGTGCTGCTCCAGCCTCTGGGAGGAAGGCTTCCCTTGTCAGGCTGTGCACGGATGAACAAAGTCCCCCTCCTGAGAACTGCCAGCCACGGCCAGTCGGCACAGCACACCTTCCATGAAGTAATAGACTCATTAAAGGGGCACTCGCCCTGTGCTGCTGAGGCCCGCGCAGGCCTTTCTCCAACCTCAGCAGGCTTGCTTATATACTGCCTTGGTTATCAGGGAATGAGACCAGAAATCACCTTTAAATGTGTTCCTAAAACTTGGGAAATATCAAGAGGCTGAGATGTTCCTAAGAGGATAAAACTGGAAAGTTCTTTCGTGTCTTAAGTCAGAAGAAAATTAAATATTACCTTTATCCATAATTTATTAATAACGCGACAGGTTACTTATTGTTCAATTAAATGAGCAATAAGGTATTAGTTTCAAATTGAAAATGTGTTTAGCTATACAAACTGTGCTCACACATTATTTTGTGATTTATATAGTGTAGAAGAATCCTTTAGACATTAAAAAAAAAATTGACCGTTTCCCAAAGTCCCCATCTCTGATGTCCTATAAGTATGAAGTTTTTCAGGCCCAGGATATACACCAGTAGCGAATCCCCTACTCCTTCCCCCCCCCCCCCCAGAATATACATCAGCAGCGAATCCCCTACCCCAACTTCTCTCCCCACACCTGCTTCCTCAAACTCCCAAGAGCATGTCCAGCAACAGGCACACCTTAGTGTATGCAGTACCTAAAATGATCCACAAGGTGGCACTCCTAGCCCATAAAGTCAGCTTGCTCTTCATGGTCTAGCGCTCTGAGTGAACTTGCCATGAAGCAAAAACTGAGTCAGACACTCAAGTAGTGCACAGATGTACATACACTCAAAATACCTACACATATAACAAATAAATAAATAAACGATTTTAAAAAAAAAGTCTTCTGTGGACACCACCCTATTAGGCCAAGAAAGGCTCCTCTACAGGGATTGGTCAATCCTAGCTAGTCCTAGAATTGACTAGGGTCTCGCACTGTACTGGGGTCATTGTAGCTACCCAGGGAGAGCCAGGTTCAGCTCTCTACCAGAAATTGAAATTTCAAAACATGTGCCGCTAGCTTAAATTCAGCTGTGCCTTCATCTTTGCCCGCTTGCTTGTTATTTTGGTGTTTTGAGACACTATCTTGCCATGCAGCCCAGGCTGGCCATGATTCAAGACCCTCCTGACTCTCACCCCTACCCCCACCTCCGGTGCTGGGATGACAAGCTGCTAGGGGCCTGCTCTTGGCTTCCTTCTAATGGCCAAGTCGCTTGAGAAGAAATAAGAGCATCATAACTCTTCAAACAGAAAGAGCCATTCAGAGGGCCATGGGCCGTAAGCACACACTCACTGTCCTTCCAGTCCCATGACCACACATGGCAGGAGATAACAGAGTCCTTAAGATTGTGTAAATAGGACACTAGACCCTTTCCGAGACTTCTGGAATCAGTAGTATCTCAGAGCTCACAAAGTTTTTCTTCTTCCATTTCAGTCAGTCTCCAAAGCCTACAGGAAAATGCTTGGATGGTCGAACTTCATGGAGTGGAAAGTAAGTTGCTTTTACCCCGCTCCTGTTTCCGGACCACTTTTGGCCTAAAGAGTCCTTTCCTGGTTCATAGGACTAAAAGGCTGTCAGTTTATATGTGTGTATACATACCAGCATGCCACAGCACATGTGCGGAGGTCAGAAGATAATAGTAGAAGCTGATTTCCCCTTTCCACCGCATGAGTCCCAGGGAAGAACTCAAACTGCCAGACTTGGAGACAAGGCCTCAGAAACATTTTGAGTTAAATATTTGGGATAGAGAAATGTGACTTTGTCACGTCCTCTATATATAGGAATGATCTAGAAAAGGGCCTGGCGCCAATCATGTTATTGCTTGACAGAAACACAAACAATCTGTGAGACCAAGTGAAGTCTTCATGTGGCAGGCCGAGTAGCAGTCAGATCACAGTCAGGATGAACTGGGAGAATGTCAAAGCATGCAGGCTTGTGATCTGGACTCTGCATACCTCAGCAGGGTCACAGCTCACATGGACTCACATAACTGAGTGTGAGGATGGCAAAAACAAACAAACAAACAAACAACTAACAGGAATAAAAGGTCTGTGAGCCTGCAACAACTAACATCCAACTCAAAGTCAAACTCATGAACCCAGTGTGTACAGCAGTGTTCGCTGTGCCGTGGCATCAGGTGTGTACGGCAGAGTTCACTGTATCATCAGGTGTGTATGGCAGTGTCCACTGTATCATCAGGTGTGTATGGCAGTGTCCACTGTATCATCAG